ATGGAAACAATAATCTAACAAAAGTGCTCAGGTAACTGTTAAGTGTAAATAATATTAACTTATGAGAGGTTTCCTGATACATAATATAAAGGCTTAAAACTCTAGAATAATCACACCTTCTTTAATTTCAAGCTAAACTCTTGTTTCTGTTAATTGTATATGAAATATCCAACTTAGAAATTAGAAATTTTTAACATTATCAAAATCTGTAAAAAAAAAAAAAAAAAAAAAAAAAAAAAAAAAAAAAAAAAAACTCTTTGAACAGATTTTGGTACCTGATTTTCCAATTCTGATTTTAATTTTACGCTTTTATTAAGAATACGTAAGATGGAAATAATCGATCCTTAAGGTTCTTTTTCTAAGCATGTTAACTGAAGTTACACAAGGTTATTTTATAGTTTAAATGATACAATATCATTGTAAAAAAATAAATGTTATCAAAATAACTTATTTTTTTCCTTTCCCGGAAGAATGTCATCTTAACATCTTTTTAAGTTTGGTTTGTGTAAAGAAAACGGCATTATATACATGATACAACAACTAGAAAGTTCAATGTCAATTTATAGAACTTTGATAAGTCTTATTATGCACATGCAAGAGTATTTTAACAGTCATGGTAATGATTCAGCATAAAAAGAAATATTATATCTACAATAAAATATTTAACAGTAATGTATATTCGAACAAAATATTTATTATCAGTATTAATAAAACTAATTTAAACCACAATAAAAGATTTGCATAGATACAGACTTATGCAAGGGCAAATGCCTTTTTTGAGCACTCTAGAGACCAAAGTTTCAAATTTCAAAATTGCTTATAAGTTTCCAAACAAATTTCAAATGTACAAAGATAAATCTGATTATATTGCTCTTAGTCTTTAATATATTTGTTTTACGTATTTTATAAACCATTGATTACTTTTCCTAAGTTATAACATCACCACCCCCAACCCCACCCCTCAGAACAATAAGTAAATTTAAAAAAAAAGAGCGTGAAGAAGTACAGTCAACTTACTTAATTCATAAAAATGTAAGAACCTGTGAAAACAGTTTTAATTTGTCTGAACAGTTTACAAATTGATAAATAGTTTCAATGTAAAATATGGTTTGTCTTTCATAGAAGCAAAGTAAGCCTTTTATTATTCTATCATTCTCCATTACGATGGAATTCCTGGTAAATGTACTAGATATGCTAAAATAGAAATATAGTTTTCCATAGGAAACATATAATAACACAACACATGGCTACTCCGTTTGATACATGTCATTAAATATGCTTCTGATATATATTACTTTGTAATAAAGTAAGGGGATAATAGGACAGTGGGTGATTAAGCCCACGAAATGTTCGGTATAAAATATTAGATGCAATATGGATATCTAATACTGTATATCTGTTTTTATCTTTATTGTAAATTAGTTTAAATATGAATCCTCAGTGTTTTGTGTTGTTTAAAACTTCCTTCCGAAAGTGTTTAGAATTTATCATAAAGTATTAATTCAAAATAAATTTTGTTTGTAAAGCTAAATACATGTATCAGCACTGATAGCAAATTTCTCTTTTGACGCTTGTTTCTATTTATAGCTTTGTCATGAACTTCGCTCTTCAGCTGGCTACCGGGAAAGTGATTTTTAAAAAATTCTGGCAATTAAAATGGTGCAGAAACCACATGCACTTACATGTACTTTTTGTACTATTAATCTGCTCTTCTAAGATATTTGCACTATAGCATGCTTCGGTGTACTTGGCTATTTTAACACGTCTATAAATATATACTTGGGGGTGTTTCGTGGGTAAGTGTATTAATTTCAAAGTCATATCCGTCACCACAATAACTCAATCTAAAATGTATAGAATGTCAAGGCGCACGAAAATTAACTCCAGAGTTTTTTTTTTTTTTTTTTTTAAAGTAGGCATTTTTGGAATTTCAGAATACACCAAAATTGTTGACACAAGAAAGTATCTTTTAAGGGTCGGTGTCAGTTAGTCTATTGAAGTCTTAGTGTAATTGTAGTGTAGTTGTTGTAGTGTTCCTTGCAAGACTATTTCACTCACATGAGATTTCATCAGATACCGGTGAAAATTTTCAAATTTGAACCTTTACCCGTCACGCAAGGCCATTCAGCAGAGAGTCAAAAGGCAGATCCAGCGCCGGCGCGCCGCCCCCCCCCCCCCCTTTGATTTTTTTTTTTTTTTTTTTTGACATTTTGTTTGTATCATCCTAAAATCAAGGGAAAAAATCTCTTATTTGTTAGATTTCGTCAGTTTCGGACCCCACCAGGGCTTTACCCTGGACCCGCTGGGGGCTTCAATCCAGCACCCAGACCCCCCTGCCTTCTACTGCCCCCCCCCCCCCCCGTTATGAAATTCCTGGATCAGCCGCTGGAGAGGGTTCTACAGCGTGTGATCGGAAAAAAAGAGGATGATGTTGAAACTATTCATAGAGCTGCCTCTCCAAACTGTGTGTGATCGCTCGTCGTGACACAGAACCTTAATTTTTAAGATTCCATCCGAAAGACCCACAACTTCACTTCCAAATGCCAAGCGCTTGATTGGCAAAGGAAAACTTTTACCTTTTCATTGATTCCGAATTCTTTGTGAATTTATATATTTTTTCTTTATATTATCATAATTCACCTATGATGTCTAAAATATAGGATACTAGAAAATCATATCAATTTGTACTCGAGCTCTCGATCAACTTTAAGATATAAAAAATTCGAATAATATTGAAAATTTAAATAAAAAGAAATATGTGGAAACAGATCTTTCTAATTTCATATCACTCCGAAAATCAATTCCATTAATTAATTAATCAAAAAGGATATTTCACAAAAGAAACCCTTCTAATATCCGAGTAATATAATTCCTTTTTAAATAAATATGAAAAGTCTCAGAATTAGGTAACATTCTGTGGTCATTCGGTAAAAATTATACCTGGTTATATGTATCAGGATAATATTTCAATATTTACTAATATTAGAAACTGAAATTGAACTCTGAATTTTTTTTTAAATTTAAATATGTTTTGTGGTGTTGTGTAGGAGTCAAATAGTAAAATGAATCCTTCATTCTTCGTACCGCTTTGAAATTTTTATTGTTTACTTATCGCACTCTAATATCTGATTTTTTAAGACAGATTTTAAACACCCAATTTTACGTTAACGCCTCCAAAGTCTACCTGGTTCAAGATCAATACTATACCGCCTGTCAATCATAAATAATACAATAGCTACTGATCTGATAGACAGGTCAGCTACTTGTGCTATCTGATGTTCTGAGATTGGATGTTTCGATAGCAATTACCTGAGCACGCGCCAACATCTTTTATGTGCCCCGCTTGATTCACAGAAATTCGCCGTCATCTGGAAACAATATACGAGCCCCCCTCCCAATAAAATGAATGAACACCAAATAGAATAAAATAATTGAAAGAAGAAAATTAGACACTGTTGGCAAGAATTAAGTTTGAAAATTATGAAGATTACTTTATCACAAATTTTATTTGTGGATGCAGATGTTAAAAAAATCACAAATAGTACACATGCGTAAGGATTGTTTTTGGTGTACAATAGATTTGAGTTTACTTTTAAATTGCATTATCTTCGGATGACATTTATTTTTATTTAAGAAATTTAAAGTACAAAAATTTTTAATAATTCTTCGCCACGTAGTGGAAGAAATGTCAAAATCATGGTTCGAATTTTCTCTAGATTCCCTTTCGTAAATGAACATCATGGGCACCAGTGTCAGCCAGGGAAATTAATAATTTCTAGATGGTTAATGTACTCAAGAGAAATGGAACTTTTTTTCAATATTTACACGTACAGTGTACCTAGTAATCATTTATTTCTTTAAATCACGCACTAAAATATTTCTTAAGAGAAATTCTTCTATGTAGCAAAATGTTCGGGAGGTTGACATTTGATTTAATTTCTTGGCACAAATAATATCAATGATCATTCATTACGAAAAAGCATAGAAAAATAAAATGAAATGTTATCTAACGTATTTTAACAAACATAATTGTTGTTAATGATATCATGCTTTAAATTAAAAAATCTCACGGGAAAATTATTAAACCAGCCATGTTTTCACTGTCCCTTTTACAAACTGTCGACATATCGGACACTTCCTCATGGCCGGAGCACAGTCTGGACAACAACAAAGATGACCACAAGGTAACATGGCGATAGAAGCCTCGTTCTCAAGACAGATTTTACAAAGCCGTAGATCCTTTAGTTTTCTGTTTTCTTCAATGAGTGACCTTGTCTCTAAATTGTAAAAAAAAAAATACAATAAAATTTTCAAGAAATTGTATGGGTACTCAAAAATAAAGATTTAAATGAAGGGATTAAAGTCTTTCACATTTTGTCTCCATTACATGATTACAGTCAATGATCAGTACCTTCAACTGTCATGGACGCCAAAGACTGGCTAACACTGTTCAGATCTCTTTGTTTTTGCGTATAAAAATCTACAAAGCATATTATAATTCTCTATATAAGATTCATGTTTACAATGAACCAATTTCTCAACCATGATTACAATTGAACAGTTATACTTTTATATACTCACCGATTTCTTCATTCAAATATTCAGAGTCCATAGCTTTGCAAGTGTCTGTTTTAAGTTGTTTTGACTTCCCTGCGTTTGTTATTTTTTCTTCCACGCCTCCTAGGCCCGATGCAGACGACGGTAAGTTGTCTTCTCCAGTTGTCTCTTCTTCAGCTAAAACTATTTCTAGTAATTCTTCAGCCTTTAGGTCTATCGATTCTGAAATTTTAATTTCATAAACGTAAAAATAATGCTGATTATGAGAGAAACTAGAATTGTACACCTTTTAAATCGCATTGTTATTTGTCTGTATCTTATTGTGTTCTCATTGACTTTAAAGAGGGTTATTTTCCCCGAGTTCAAAGAGAATGCCAGGAGTATAATATAACGGGGTCAAAAAATTCTCTTTGTACTATAAACAGTATCAATATTGTGTCTACCTTTCGTTTCTTTCAAGAGATCAAACGCTTTTTGAATAGTCGGAGATGAGTAACCCATTTCAAGCAGACTTTGAAAACCTGGATGTGTTGTAACGCATTGTACAGAACTCTGGGATTGTATTGTTATGTTATCATTTGCTAGGACGCCGATTTGACCATTCATTCCTCCTAATGCCTCCTTGAAATTACAAATTTTAAAGGAACATGCAAAATTAATTTCACAACAACAATGCATTAGATAAAAAGACAGCATTTCCGAGAAATACGTACTTCTTCTTGGTGTTCAATTTGCACTAACGCAACAAACTCGTCCCCTTTGTTCTGTCTCAGGAAAGCACACTTCGGAAACCATCTGGCATGTTCTGTCCAAGGATCGTCGCCAGGTTCCCAGTTTCGTAATCCTCCCCCACAGAAGAAACATCGCGTGTAATCTCCATATCCCGCATAAAGAAATCCTGCAATGGCCAAGTCTCTAGGAGTCTGTGTGATACTTGAGGGCCAGTCTGTGAAGGAACTAATTCTCACTGCTAATGCTGCGTAAGAAGGATACTTAGGATGGTCAAAGTTAATACCTAGCGGATCTAGGTCTCGAATGAATGCATTAATCTTTTCTTGTTGAGCTATAGTTTTTGTGAGCTGATCAAATGGGGGTCTATTGAAAGAATGATTTTGTATACAATCTCTTACGTTTCTAGATATATCTTCATTATTGACTAAAACTTGGGATGCAATATTTGATCCATTTGTAAACGGTCCAGTTATTCCTTGCTGACCTTCATTTTGGCTAACACAATTTTCGTCAATGCCATTTGCTTCATTCCTTCCAATTTGAATATTGCTCGTAGAATTTGAATTAAGAAGCAGACAGTTTGGAGAGGCAGCTCTATGAATAGTTTCAACATCATCCTCTTTTTTCCAATCATTTTTTCTAAATCCACAAGCGAAACATATAACAGTGTCTTCTTCCCTTGAATAATAAAACCCCTGACGAGCAAGTTTCACCGTTGATACTGAGCTGGAGGATGGGAAATTGTGAAATGAACTCAGTCTTACAAGTTCTAAATTCAATGAATGGCAGTAGGTTTCTTGGTCGTTGTTTCTCTGATTTTCATTTATTTCTCTTTCTACAAATTCGTCAAGATTTTTAGAAGCCCCATACACTGGGAAAAGCTGAATGAATTCATTTCTTATTTGAGGTAAGCCAAACAGAATAAACTTTAGGTCTTCCTTAATTTCTGAATATCTGCTTTTTCTGTCAAAACCAAAACGAATTTTATTGTGGAAATGCCTTGAACAACTCTGATGTTCAAATTTCTTAATAGTTTCTTTGATTTTATCTATAATGTTGGAATATCTTATTGTATTTGGATTAGTTTTAAGATATTTTCTGTAAATCTCATTGACTGTTCTATTACACTTCCTAGAAAAATATGAAGGTATATGTTTTTCTTGAAAATCTTTTTCTATACGACATTTCTCCAAATTTAAGTGTGAATGTTTTTCTGGGATCTTTTGGTTTTTCTTTTTCCTAGCACATAAATCAAATTTTGAAGGACAAAACGCTTTGTATTTCTTTCTCTGATCCTTTTGAAACTCTCCTTTACTTTTCCTGTGTAAAGTAGTTGGTGGATCTCTTTTAAAGTCACTCTCAATCTTACTTACAATTGCTTCGATGCTCTCTACATGTTTACATAGAAGAGAACTGTGGTATACATATGATTGATGCGGCTTATCCTCTTTTCTCCCTGAAAACTTTGGATAAATATTTCTCTTACAAGAAACAAATCGTTTCCTTTTTGATTCGTGTAATACTATGCTACATCTGCATTGTTTACATTCCAGTTTGCTGCAGTACACTAAGGGAAGATTAGTTACATTAGAATCCTTTTCATGATTCACATCTTCATTAACAATGGATGAAATATCAACTTTCCTGATATCTTTCAGACATTTTTTGCCTTTGCCAACACATCTATTGTCACTGATTGGGTCACTGTGACATTCATGATTTTTGCTGATGTCTTCACCTGATACCAACTCGACCTTCAGCTGAGGCCTTCTTCCTGACCTTGACCCTATCTCTTCCTCGTAACTCATCTATTTCTGCGTGATTGTGCCTTTCTTTGATCTTGTAGATAATTGTCTGAATATGTAAAGTATATATGTATGTAAAGAAGAATTAATGAACAAAATAGCAAATTTTTATCATTCAATGATAAGCACGGCCTAATATACCTTGGTATTTATTCTGCAAAGTTCATGAAAGAATGACATGGTTCTCTATCTAAAAAATAATCATATTTTCTCTGCAGAAAACATTCATCTTTGCCTGCAAAAGACAATGTCAGAGAATTAATACAACGGTTATATGGAGGATAGTCAATATGTTTTGTTGGATATGGAATTTATTTCACGAGTGGGACATGATTTTTGATATTTTCACGGGTGCAAAAACAAAACATTGAATTATCTGGGTTTTTTTTTTACATTTTCCCTTTACCTCTGTCTTTTCTTAGTGCCATAGACTGTAGCGTCATAGTTGAACAGTTGAGATGTCATAGCTTAGCAGGTTTGAGATTGAAAACATTGTAACGTGGATTTTAGCAACATATTTGGGAAGAAATTGACAGTTTTTGTTTCTATCAAGATGGTTTAGTTACTATCTCTATCTTATTACAGGCCAGAAATTATTTTTGCTTACTTTGATATCCATTCACACTGTGAGAGAATATCACTTTTATTCAATAAATAATTCACAGTTTTTTACCTTGGAAATGTAATAAATGGTTATATTTCCTTTTCTTTCTTGTAAGGACAAATTCCACGCCTCAAACTATATATTTACAAATTTTTGATAATTGTCTGTTTTCTTTCATCAAATCAAGAAGTAGAGGTTTTTGTTTAGAATCTCGGATGTTACATTAAAAAAAAAAACGGTTAATTAGAAAAAAAAAGCCACGATAGATAGTTTATTAAATCATACATATTTAAATAATTTGTTTGTTTTCTAACAGCTAATTTAAAAAAAAAAATGTAGTACTGTTAAGAGTACTATGAAGAAATCAACGGAATATAGAAGTGCATAAGTAGATTCAGTATCTTTAAACAGAATTTAGTTTTGTAAGCGCGATTATATCATTACCATATTAAAGTTTAGATAGACCAGCGTCATTAAAAAAATTGCTCAAATATGTAACGTAAGTCATGCACAAATTTTACTTACATCACTGCATACCCTCCAATTCTAACAAACACTTACACTGTTTCACAGTAATACGTGTCACTTAACTAAGATCAGTTGACAACGTGGGAATCAAATTAATCATCAAGATCTCAACTGTAGCTTTATTTATCAAATCAAAGGTTAACTAGCTTTATTAACACTCATTATATGTAATATTTACAGAAACAAGAAGTATGGAAGTCTGCAGAGCAATAAGTGAAAGAGGTATTATCTTATGATAGAGTGTTGAATTATTTTAAGTACGTAGAAATCATCGAAAATGTAACATGTGCTTTGAATAATTTGTATTAAACACCATACAATTCTTACTCAGGGACTAAAGCTTACACTGTGAGAGAATATTGATTTTTTTTCAGTCAACACAGACACATATTGCAAGTTATTTAATTTAACGAAAGTTATTTCTTCCAGCAAAAAGCTCTCCGAACAAGAGTTTGATGAAATATGTTGAGCTCGATAATAAAATAAAATAAAGGAGAAAAAATTAAGAATACTATAAATGCTTAAAGTAATACTTACTCTATCATTTATCCCATATATTTTATGTGTACTTCTAATAATTTTAAGCATTTTATATGAGGAAAATAAGGAAGTATATTTTCTAACAGGGATAGGTAAGGGAAAAACTCCAAATATCACTACGTCTTTAGAGATTTAAAACAAATTGTAAAACTTATATAGGGATATATAAATATGTTAATTGTAATTGATGACATTGTCTTCTGTGCAGAAAAATTCGTGACAAGGGCAAGGAAATAAAATTTTTGTATGTGAAGGTAAGCTTTAGATACTTTATGAACAGAAGTGAGCAGCTGATAGCACTGCTTATTAATGCAGGTATGCTCTTACTATACATTAAGGCAGTTGCAATTTTCCAGTTACTACTATTTCAAAATGGCTTTAAAAAACTCTGTTTTCCTCTATCCCCCATTGGTAGTGATTTTCAATTCCAATTAAATATTGATTCAGAGAACGGTTTTGGAACAAAGCTATTTTGAGTTCATTAAGACCGTGGGAAAAGGGCGGCATAAATAAGTTTAATAAACATGGATTAGAATACGAATAGGACAGCTCAAAATTATAATCATTTATTTATATGCGGAAAGGTTTTGAAAATATTAAAACCAAAATATCAATATTTTCCATGAAACTCAGATTCTCTGATAAAATATCGGCATGAATTAATCATCAGAGCTGTTTTTTAAAAGGTGTTATTTATACTTTAAAGTCACTATAAAATGTATTTGAACATTTTCAACGACCTATAGCTACATGTAACACGTGGGCAAAAATCTTCATGAAATGGCAGAGAAGTCCAGGTTAAGTTTGTTTTTTACAATACTAGTATTGTATTGATATTTAATTTTGAAATTTATTTTCTGTATTGGGACATAACACTTTTGCTAAAATCTCACACAAGGGTTTAAATATGCAGAAGAGTAGATATTTTGTATGAATGAAAAAGACTGCACCTTTCTTGGTCCAAATGCTCAAATCCCGCTTCTTTATAAGTCCTAGATTAAGAAATCAGAATATTATTCTTATACATGTTGTTAAAACTGGTCTTATTTATTCATGTCAAAATGGAGCTTTGAATTAATTGATTAAAATAATAATGAGAAATGTACTGTTCTTATCTTTAAATTAAGTCTTGGTTACATATGATCATTTTATTCAAACACTATAAAATAATATGTAGATGAAAATTAATTCCATAAAAAAGTACTGATACTTAATAAATATTCCATTCAACCAAATCTTGTTTAACCGTTGATTTATCTTTCACCGACCAGTCTCGATTTTTTTTTAATTGTATGCACTTCCTCATACTTAAATATATACATTTGTGGTATCTCTCTATTATATAAACATGCAGAGAGCAAATATCTTCATACCTGTATGAAGTTTTTCGAAGGTCATAGGTCATTACGTGACCTAATCACACAGCGCAGTAATATCTCTATTAAAAAGACTTACTCCACTAAGCAATATAGCATGTTTTTCATGCATAAAAATGTACAAAATACGCAAGTAAAATAATAATCATTTTATTCACAATGTAAACGAGTATTTAATACAGTTCTTGATCGATTTTACATAGAGAAAAGAAAACTACGTGTTATAAGTTTCATGTCTGAGCTGCATAGTCTCAACATTTACCCTTATTTTTCTCGCAGACCTCTGAATGCTATAATTTTTTTTCATTAAACTTTACTCACAATAAATTTGAAAATCTGTTGAAAAATATCAATGTAATGCAATCACGCCACAAACAGCTGACAAACACTGCACTTTGGAAGTTCGGTAGGCACACCTCCATCATCGAGATCGTTGTGACGTTGTCTTAACAATGTAAGCTGTCGCCAGTGTCTCCATGTCAACATCATAAATTAATAAATATGCCTTACTGAAATCGTAGAATTTATGTTTTTGATCAAATTTTGTACTTGATTTCAAGTTATCTGGTCCAGACAAGTGTCTCCATCCATCCCTTTCCGATCAAAATTCTTCCAACTTTTTAGTATCAAACATCGGACGTGTTTCTTGTGTTTTTTTAACATCGAATATGGGTTCTCATGAATACAAAAATTTCCAGACACCAATATGCTCACTATAATTGATCACAAGTAGCCTTTCACAGAATATTCCCTTCAAAACAATCCTTTGCCAGATGAATTTGAAGCGTAACCGCTTTTCAAGCCGATTTACACCTAGCGTAATTTGTCAAATTCTACGACGTACAGTTAGTGCAATATTTATATTCGATTACATTCGATTGTCCGTCTCAAATGTATATATAAGTAATAAATAACAAGTTTAAAAACTTCAATGGGAATTGAAGTGGGTCGGTACGTGATCAAATCTTCTGAGAAGGCCTTCGGCCTTCACAGGATTTGATCACGTGACCGACCCACTTCAATTCCCATTGAAGTTTTTAAACTTGTTATTTATTTCTTAAAGGACTTTTTTCATACGGCCAAATACAAACCATGAATCGTATTTTTAGTTAATACGTGCTATTTTTATACACATTCATGACGTTTATCTGACAAATACATGATATTCGAGAGAGCAAATCACGGACTTGGTACAAAGTACAATCAACTTGGACCCATTCACCGCATAAATGTTGACCAAAGTACGATCTCAACAACCACTCCCGGCAGATTATCTCTATTTTAGTTACACAGAAATAGTCTTTCTATATGTTTTTATCAAAAATTAATGTTTGAAATTTCCCTTAATTTGAGAATTTATTTTACACGATGAAATATGCTGTAAACTAGCCATATCGGAATATTTTCATAATGCAGAACCAAGAATTGATGGTGTCAATAAATTTATAAAGTTTTTATTTTCCAAAAATACGTAGTTTTCATGCTCAAAGTCTCCAAAAATTTGTACATAAAAGTGGGATCTTGAGAGGAAACGAACTTTTTGATCAAATGTTTAATGGGATTTTGTTATCCGACTTAATTCTGATAAAAACTGCAGTCTCATTAAAAAGAGACTTCAATTCAAGTGTTCTCTTTGTTATTCAACCTTTCTAGAAAGACAAACCTAACACAAATTTGTAAATGGTTAACTTTGAGAAAATGAATAACAGAACGCCTTACTACGAATAAAAGAGGCAATCAACGTATCATTTTTGTTTATTTATTTATTTATTTTTTTATTATTTTTTATTTTGTATATTTATATATATATGATTAATCTTATTATGATAAATCGTTCATTGGTGATAAGAATTGTTATTATTCT